AAATGAACTGGGGATGTAGCTAAATAGTAAGGTGCCCCTGGGTTCAATCCCCAGTATAAAAAAATATATATCTTGGTGGAAATAGGTTTTCAAATTGCATTTTCTATCACACATGTAGAAAATGCAGACAGTAGAGTAGAAGAAACTGAGAGTACACAATAGTCAGAGCCAGAGCTGCAGTACCTGGGTCAGCCCATAGGCTAATATCAGAGACTAAGAATTCTCTGTAGATCCCAAAGTAAGACCTGGACAGCAATATCGACCAGAAATGTAAGAATCAAAGGGTACAAACATAGGACACATAGAAGAGCATCCATACCAAACTGACAGAGTATTTCCCTACCTCTGTTAGCCAAGATTTCTTATCAGGTAATTAGTAAGGCAACAATTTATAGTTTATTTTTGTGCATGCACTGATAAAATGTATATATTTATTAATATAGGTTTTGATCAGTCGTTGATGGAACACAGGAACCCTTCTATTACTTCCGAAAGGAATTTAAAGAACTTTTTAGGATTCATCCTATCTTACATATTTGTATAGAGCAGCACCTAAAAAAAAGTTCTTTAACTAAATTCCTCCTATTTTACTACTAGACTAATAGACTTGATACCCAGAAGCATATTAAAAAGGGTTACAATTGTCTATAAGGAACAAAACATACATACACACAAAAAAAAAGAAAAGAAAGAAAAGAAAAAAAAACAGAAAAGAAAAAAACTAAAATAGCTATGGTTTAAGCAAGATTGAATTTTATTTCCTTTTCACATCCCCATGAACAATCTAGATCTGGCATATCCACCAGGGACCCAGTCCCTTATTTTATTATCTAGCCATTTTTATTATGAAGCTTCCAGTAGGTGATTGCTCTGGGATAAAACCCATCTTCTGCCATGTGTCTGGGCATTTCATCAGGAAAGAATGACAAAGGAGAAGTCAAGGTATTATTATCCTTCTCTTTAAAGACATACATTTCATCTGCATCCTCTTAGTCAGAATTTGTGACATGACAACAACCAGCTGCAATTGAGGATATGAATTTTAGTTCTCTTTTAGGCAGCCACAGTCTAGACAAAAATCAGAGGCTGTCTGCCTTAAACAATACCGACCTAACAGAGTGTTTTTCTGTTTAGAAGTAGCAGCAGATATCACATATGAAGAACTCCTCATATACCAAACAATTAACTAAATCCTTTTAAAATAGCTTTATGGGTTGAATGGTGCCAACACCCAAAAAAGACGTGTTGAAGCCCTAATCCCTAGTACTTCACAATGTGACCTTGTTTGGAAACAGGGTCTTTGCATGTGTAGTAAAGTAGAGATGAGGTCCTTAGAGTGAGCCCTAACCCAATATGTTTGGTGTCCTAATGGAAATGAGAAATTGTGACACAGACATAGACATACACAGGGAGGAGTGTGTGAAGACAGGCAGGGAGGACGTCAAGTGAAGATGCAGAGTTACAGTGGGACATCCACAAGCCAAGACATGACAAATTGCCCCCACACCACCAGAAGTGAGGATGAGACAAGAGTCTAACCCTAAGGTTTGGGAGGGAGTGTGGCCTCACTGCTACCTTGATTTGGGACTTCCAGCCTCCAGAACTATGAAACAATATATTTTAGTTGTTTTATGTCACCAACTTTATGGTACTTTATTGCTAGTGCTATAGAAATCTAATAAAATTTGGTTATTTCATTTAATTCTCATAACTACGACCAAGAGAAAGGTACGTTGGTCTTCCCCTATTAGAAAGGAGTACATTTGAGACTAAAACAGTTAAAAAACATGCCACAATTCCTTGAACTTTGATGCAAACTTTTGACTCAAAGGTTTTTCCAGAGCCTGAGCTTCTAATCTGCTGTATACTAGCTGAAGAATTAACCAAAAGTCCATTTTTTTTAAAGATCTATCATTCTTTCTTAGCTTAGAGATTACATCAGAAAACTGAGAAGTACTATGAAGATTTTAGGCAATAGTATTATTCCCTTGGTCCCTCTGTAACATAATATTGGAGCCTATTGTCATGGTTTGGATATGAGGTGTAACCCCCAGAGCTCCTGTGTTAACGTAGAAATGTTCAGAGGTGATATGATTGAATTGTGAGACCTGTAACCTAATCAGTTCATCCTAGCTTGAATGGACAGACTGATGATTACTGAGGCCTGATGGGGTGTGGTATCACTGGATTTGCACCCTGGAAGGTGCAAATCCAGTGATCCCCTGCATCCCCCTCCTCCTCCTCCTCCTC